TACGCAGGCACAGGGGACCCGCGCTGTGCCCCCAAGAAGGGCTGCTCCCCCCGGGTGGGTTTACGGAATGGAAACCGTTCAAGAGCCCGACTGCAAACCACCGCCCCAGGACGGACTGATGAGCAAGCTGCTGAGAACATGAACAAAACAGACCCTGTGCAAGGTTTCTAGCGGCCAAGTACTCACAGAGCTGTCTCCCTTCTTGGGCATGGCCGGCTTCCTGGGGAAGAGGATGAGCTTGGAGCGGTACTCCTTCAGCCTCTGCACGTTGGCCTGCAGGGACTCGGTGGACTTGTTGCGTCGTCGGGGATCCACAGAGATTCCGATAGTCCGGGCAAACTTCTTGTTAATGCCAGCGAGCTGCAGAGAGAGCGCAGAGTGTCAGCATCCCACAGCTCCCCATGCCACCGCGGTACGGCCGGGAGCCGCCCTGGTCAGTGGCCCGACAAGGGCTTGAGCGCAGCCACCACCGACTACAAAATCTGACAAAAAGGCTCAGCACCCGACCCAACAACCCTTGGCAGTGCGAGGGTCTGATGAGAGAGAGCAGCTACGCCACAGGGAAAGGGCGTCTTGGCATCTGTATTTTAATGCTTAAAATGTTCCACAGACTTTAGAGTCGTTTTTTTGCAGATAGATTTCCTCAGGAGAGCAAAATGCAACCTCTGAGGAAATAAGAGGGGGACATTTAAACTCTGATACGCACTAGACAGGAATGTATGCAGTCAGCATACGGATTAACGCTGGTTCACTGCATACGGGAAGCTCCATGAGAGAAGCATTTTGTGTAACTACCTCAAACAAGAAATAACCACATTTTCTGTCAATGACAAACATCTGTATACTGTTTTGTACTCCACCATTATCCAAAAATTAAAGAAAAATAAAGTAATGAAGCATTTGGCACCCAGAAGAGCAATTTTACTGCTTCAATGCATTAATTTCACTGTTATAAATGCTTTAATTAGACACCGAACAACGCACGAGAGGCGGCTTTGGATGCTGGCTGTCAGCAAGCACCGATGTTTGTTCCTGCCCGCTGTGACATGCGGGTGGGGGGCTCTGCAGGCCACCACAGCCCAGCCTGGAACAGCTCCTCAGCGCAACACACCGGGACGGTCACGGAACGGTCTCCGGAAGCAACGGGGGGCACTGAACGCTTCCTGCAGGCTTTTAAGTTTCCCAGAACCAAGTCGTAGCCATGGCTGCTCTGCAAGACCAAGCTGAACGGTTCCCTTCCCTGCCATAACATCCCATACTCTGCTTGAAATAAGCTGAGTGCAGTTTACTTCCTCCACAACACGAACAGGTTCACATCTGCTAAAGTTTTTAGGATTGGCAGAAACATATCCCACAAACAAACAAAATAATTTAATGAAGAAACCATTATCTTTTCTTTCCCCCCCAAAAAAAAGCTCAGGAGACTCACTTAAGGCTCCACCAGAAGGCAGTTTTGATGGATTTTTGTTTAAGTGACAGGCTCACTAGACTTTTCAAAACAGCCCTTTGCTCTGACGGGGTACACCACTGCACCTCCACCCTACGGTTAAAAAAAAAGGCAAGACCAGTGTTTTCCATGCTCCTGTTCAACCAGCAAGACCAGAATTCCCCCTGGCCCAGCCAGCGTCAGCAGACACCTACACCTTGGAAAAACACTTGCGCATTGCCAATACACAGAAAACCAGTCCAAGACAACCGAGCTGGGACTGGGAGTTAGTTTTATCGGGTTGGGATCAGTACTCCATACTTACTTTAAGCTCTTCTAGGCTGAAACCTCTGCCAGCACGCACTTTTTTGTGGTATCTGATAGTAGGGCACCTCACTATCGGCCGGATGGGCCCAGCCACGGGCCGGGGAGCGATGCGGCGAGCCTTTGCCTGGCGGGCCTTCCTCCTGGAAGGGCGAAGGGGACAGCGATCAGGAACACTGCATTTCTGCCAGATGTGCTGCTCCTACACTGCCCAGCGACCTCTCCTGCCAGGCAGCATCTGCTGTGTGGGGATCTCTCAGAAACAAACGCGCCACCAGCCTGGCAGGTCAGATGGGCTGATGCCTGCTTCTAGAGACCAGCCGCAGTCATCAGAAGTACAGGGTTCAAGGGAATCATCAATGCAGTACAGCGATTCCGGAGATTTCTCATCACTTGACTGCAGCTGGAATGGCCTGAACCCGGCCAGAGACCCCCCACCAGCAAAGGGGGATCCTGGTGCGTCCCCAGAGCCTTTAACAAGGCAACGGGAACGGCCTAAAATAAAGACGCAGCACTTCCCGAGCAGCCTGATACAAGGCCACAGACAGCTTCCCCC